GAACCGGCTGCGCCACGCTCGATATTTTAAGTCGATGGACCTGAAGAGTGGGTACTCGCAGGTCGAGGGTGACGAACGAGATCGTGAACGACTGCCTTCCTCACGGCGGACGTGCTGTGCGAATTTAAAGTGATGCCGTTCGGACTATGCAGAGCACCGGCGACGTTCCAGCGCAAAATGGACACCGTTCTTTCCGGCTTGAAATGGCAAAGTTGTCTCGTCTATCTCGACGACGTCGTGGTATTCACCAGCAACTTTGACGAGCACCTCAGACGTTTGCAAGCCGTGCTACAGGCTATACAGAACGCCGGACTGACACTGAAGCCGTCAAAATGTTGGTTCGCTTACGGTGAGATCAAATTCCTGGGTCATATCGTGAGTGCTGAAGGTGCAAGTCCTGACCCTGCAAAGACAGCCGATGTCGCCGAATTTTCGAAGCCATCAGACAAGAAAGCCGCACGAAGATTCCTTATCCAGGGAAGCCCCAGGCAGCTGGGATTGCCCTTCCTCCCCCTGGGGGCCCGCACCCCCGCACCAGAGCGAAATTGTGCCGCAAGTGCTGCAGACCTCAAGCGGCCGGCCGCAGTCCCCCTACGGCAAAGGCCGGCTGCCTAACCGTCTTCTAGGTCATTGAACGGCCCATAAATGCCCAAGCTTGGGCCGAGAGGTGGCTGGCAGTGAGGGAATGAACCAGTGGAGTTGAGAGGCAGCGGCCAGTGTTGGAGAGACTGGAGTAACATGGGAAATAGAGCTGCAGAAGACCGTTGGCAGCCCAGTTCCTGCTACAACTACGGACAGCGTGGCCATTCTCGCACCCAATGCCTGCCCTGGCTGTGCCGGGGTCATAGGAACCAGGGAACCCAACAGGGCCGCGACGCTGAACTTGGAGATCTCACTGCCGCCGGCCCAAGCTGGCGGCGGCGAGTTCCAGCCTCGGGATGAGCGAGTCGCCACCACTTCTCTCGTCTGTGTCGCATACGACCTACAGATCAATGCATCGAGCCTCACATGACACTTTGTCTACTTGCTGTTCCCTTTGCCGCCCTTCTTGACAACGGAGCAGAAAGTTTGCTTATTGGATACTTTTGAGCTGTGCAAAACAAAAGAGACCGCTTTGTTCCTAAAATACACTTCTGCAGTGCGCTGCAAGGCTCTGCATTCCATTCGACGAAGAGCCACGCTAGCATTTTCTTTATCTGCCAGGATTGAACGCGCCAATTACCTTTTGGTGGAGATTTCATTGCAGGCGAAAAACTTTTGCTCGGCATTGATGTTGGTGGCTATTGGCTGGATGGACATTCACCTGGATGTGACCCCCTTCACCAGGCGAGAGGATTGCATTACCGGCGCAACTCTCCCGGCTCTCTGTACAACAAGGCCTGCTGCAGCCTTTCCTGCCGGTGTTTGAGACGCCCTGCACGTGCGTCCAGCGTCCAGGAAACAAAAGCAAGAGCTAGAGAGCATCTTGCAGCCATTTTCACCAATGTACTACACGGAAGTTCCGGGAAAGACTGTTGTGCTGCTGCATCGATTCGAGAGGGGCGATGCTCGACCAACTGCAGTGCAACCCAAAACCCCTCATCGTCCATGTACGAGCTCTCCTCAAGGCAGCACTACAGGAGTGGATCAACACCGGAGCTGTTTACAACTCCCTGAGTTGTTGGGCTTCTCCCGTCGGAGCCTCAAAGCTGTAACAGTGAGAGATTCATACCAGTTTCCCTTGATCGACTCGATCATGTACGCGATCGACAACAGGAAGGTGTTCACAACGCTTGACTGCAGTCTAGTATAAGCGAGATAGACCCAGAGGAGGTTTCGACAACCGCTTTCATCCATCACAAGTGAGTTTCTAGCCTTTCAAATTTGCTCGATACCTTTCAACATCGAATGGACATTGTTCTCGATGATACAAAGAGCAAGTGTGTGATGGCGTGCATAAATGACTTCACGTTCCCCAATCTTTCAAGGAATGCCTCGAACATCTTAGGATTGTCCTCGAGAAAATACAATCTGCCAACTTGACAGTTCACCCTGAAACAAAAATTAACCTTCTTGGATTTAATGTTGTTTACCTGAGTTTTTCACCCCAATCGGGACAAGATGTGCGCGATAACCGATTGCCCGCAGCCGCAAGACGTCAAGAGCTTGCAATACCTTCTAGGATCGATTGGATGTTATTGCCAACTCGTCCCACACTGTGTCAAGAACCTAACCCTTTGCATTTGCTTTTGTGAAAAGGAAAAAATTGGCATTGGAAACGAAAGCTACAGGACGCTTTCTTTCGGCTCTCGAAGGCAATCACCGACTTCGCTTCCTTAGTTTCCGGGTCTCTTTAAACTGTTTGTTGTTCAGACTGATGCCAGCAGCTCTGGCCTTTGTGGAGTCCTGCAGTCCCGAAGAACACAACGGTGTTATTCGGCCAGTTGCCCTTCACCAGCCGTATGCCGACAGCTGCCAAACACTACTATTACGTAATAGAAAAGGTGTGTCTCGCAATTATTTTTATCCTAAAAATTTTAACATGTATTTCAATGCCGCAAACTTTCAGGTCTAGGCCGATCAAGTGCTTTCCTGGCCGAATAATTAGCGAAATCCAGTCGGACGTCTCGCACAATTGGCTCCGACATTACAGGCATACCACTAAGCCACTACATACAAGAAGGGAGTTTTGTTTCGGCATGTGTGCTCTCGAGTGCTCCTTTGCAGGTCCTTCCCACTCAGGACAACAATTTATTGGTGAGAAAAACCGGCATTGTGGCTGACACATCAGTCAGAATGGGGGACGTTGGTGATCAAAGAACTTCGCAAGGCACAGTGGGAGGGGAAACTTTCTCTACGGGTGTGCGAGAAGCTTGTAGAACAAAGAGCAGGCCGCACCGAGAGCAGCGGTAGGTGCACTCATGCTTGCTGAGAGAGAATGGACTTTTTCTTAGCTACATCTTTCAAGCAGACGATGCCGCCCATGGCTCGCCTTTCAGGATTGTGAAACTTCGAACGCCGCTCATCAGTCACTTCCATGATTCAGCCTCATCAGGTCACAGCAGTATGACTTGCAGTAAGTTACACCATGTCGAGACTTGATCAGGAATCAGGCACGATATACTGAAGTATGCCCACACTTGTCCAGGGTGTCATAAGTCAGAGCCACGCCAAGGTCACCTACCAGGATTTATGGAACCAATCGTAAGCTACTCTCCTTGGCAAATTATTGCCTGCGACCCGTAATAAGATCGTTTCCTCATAATCCGTACTGTAATTAGTATCTTCCTGTCGTGACTGATCCCTTCACGAAATGGTTGAATTGCTCTCTTTACAGAAGCTTCTTGCCAAAAAAATCTGGAATTGCCTTCTCGCCGTCCTTAGCAGATTCGGCTTTCTCGCAGAGCGCATGGTGGATCATACTTCCGCAGCAAGCTTGTCTCGACATCTACTGTGTTATGACTCCTGCGTTTCACGTCAAAGCTTTGCACATATCTCGCTAGCGATAGGCACCACCTCGCCGTAAGCAGCCGTAAGGGAGTGTAACCATGGTACCTGCAACGGGTTTCGGACTGGTGTGCTTACCGCGTCCAAAAAAAGTGGTCCCTCGATTTCCGACTGACGACGTCATAGAAGCGTCAGGCTGTTGCCGGCAGCGTTCATGGCCGTGTCTCAGCAGCGGTGGTGGACGTGGAAGACGCCTTCTTTGCCTCAGGTCGCCCGCGAGCGTGTTGGTCAATGGTAGCTCCGGCGGCCAAGAGTTGTGACAGCGCAACGAAAGCGACACTCGCGTTTGCTCGCGCTTTTTGCCGGAACTTCTACGACCAACCACCAGGATCGCGTCATGCGACAGCGCGACATTCCGACTTCTGTGACACCATTTTTTTCCTCTTTTGGGTCACTTTCGATGCATGCGCGAAATAGCATACTCAACGCACCAAACAGAGACGAGTTCCGGGCACCGTAGTTGAAACACACTCGGTGACGCTATGGTGCCTGGAACGCGTCTACGAATGGTGTGTTTAGCGTCCTATCCCGCCCATACATGAAAAGTGGTCCCGAAGTGGCAGCAAATGACGTACGTCACGGAAGTCGGAGTGTGATGCTGTTGATTGTCGCGATCGTGGCGGTTTGCCGTAGAAATGCTGGCGAAAAGCGCAAGTGAACGCGGGTGTCGCTTTCGTCACGGCGTCTCACGCGTCCGAACTTTCGGCTGCTGTAGCTTCCGTGGACTGTCACAGTGCAGAGCAACCTGCAGCAGGACAGGCGCCTGCCATAGATACAACAACAGTTGGGACGCCGCTAGGATCGCAACCGGCGAAAACATGACTCTTCTATGACGTCATCAGGCGGAAATCGAGGGACCACTTTTTTGGGCGCGGTAAACACACCAATCGGAGACGCGTTCCAGGCACCATAGTGACACTCAAACGCAAATGTCTTAACGAGCCTGTAGACTACCACATGTGACAAAAGTTTCATATATAGCTTGATTCCACGGCAAACCTGGCAACACTGTGTATCCCAGTGTTCCGAGTCTGCAATCCCTGGCGCAAAAAGCACGCGCTTATTTTCCTAGAGAAAAAACAACGCTTTCTACAAATCTTTCCGAGGTACTCTGTAAATGTGTGAGGGTGTGAACAACGTTATTTTCTGCAGCAGAACATTCCGTAGCATGAAGGAAACGCCCCTTCGCTTGAGAGCATACAATTTTCCTGGTCTTTTGAATGCGATATGTTATCGGGATCAGTACGCCGGCCCAAATTAGCCTAGAAATAATAAAACGGATGGACATCTGTAGGCTTTGTGTTCAACTACAATTTCTATGTTGGACATTGGGTGCAAAAGGATTTCTTGGTTTATGTACATAGTACATTGTAGTTCCCGATAGATGTTCCAAGCTAATACACAAAAAGCTTAAACAAAGATAGAAAGACATTGAAAAAATGACACCATGACAGTGTGTGCTGTATCAAATGAACTGCACTTAAAAGTTCTAAACAATGTCAAGCTATACTTACCGGTGTTATCAAAAGCATGACCCATTTCATGGCCTATAACCGCTCCAATTGCTGCCATATTGATTGATCTGAAAAAAAAAAATGTTTAGATGGAAGCCTGGAAGGATGCGTAAACTTTCTACAGAAAGGTTTGGAACATAAAACGCCATATGAAGGGTTTCGAATTTTAGGTTTTAATTGTTTTCAATTCAGCATACTTTTTTGTTTCTCATCAGTTTTCTGGCTTTCTTGGGTGATTCGTTCCGTTCCTTTGTTCAACTCATAACCACGTACATATAACCTTCCTTTTGCTTGCCATGTTTTAGAACTGGGCGATTATTAACAAATGGCTCTGTTGCGCACAGTGAAGCATTAGTGAGAGTAAAGTACGAGTGGTACCAGGTGTTAAAACATGGCCGTAAACCAATCAGCGACCAGCAGTAACCCGGCCGTGCCAGGACAACATGATAGTTTCCGATCAAGGATTGATGTCTGCCCAGTTATAAACACGTCAACGCACTCATACTTACTTCTCTCGTTGATGCATGCATTTTCACGCTGTCTTGGCATAATTCTGTGAATTATTTGAGGTTTCACGCCTTCCGATCACCAAAATCTGATGACACTCACTGCTCCTTAACGGTGCAAAAATTTAGAGACGCCGCCTTTCGCATATACTACCGTTCCTACTAAGCATGCCGCGATGCGTATTGGAAATTATCACCTCTAAGAATGAGACTTCCCAGTGTAAGTGGTTTAAACGCCTACAGTGTTTCTTTAAGAGAACACTGTTAACTTATCTTTCCTTTTTGAAACATCCTCGCATATCTCCGAATAAAACGTTCCGACAAGTCTCAAACTAACAACATATGTACTAAAGAAATTAGAGTAAAGACGCAGGCGAGCTGGTACGAATCATGGTAAAAAAACACAGAGACAAGGAGCTAAAAGGACAGAACAATACCGTGTCAAAACCAGCACAACGAGGATTTCATTATACATAGTCTTTCTTCTTCTCTTCATATCCCCTGGTCATCAGCAGGCGCCACGTTTGAAGTCATCAAGCAAAAGAAAACGTGCACGTCTACAGTCTTAAGCGTCCGGTGAATACATAACCACTAGACCAACAAAAACGGCGGTGACTCAACGTCAAAAACAAACCATTAGCTCCCTTTTGAAATCCTTGTTGTGCTGCTTTTGAGACGGTGTTGTTCTGTCTTTTTAGCTTCTTGTCTTTGTGTTTTACTACTATGAGCCTAATTACGTTTCCCGCAGCAGCTGAGTTTCGTTAAGCAGGATTTAGAAAAGCATAGGCTTATTATCGACGCTTTGACTGCCAGGATGAGGCTTGCTAGAATGATACCTTTCAAATCAATTAAAACGTGTAGGGTATTAGAAAACGCTGTCATATATTTTATACCAAATGAGGTCTTCAGAATCGTGGTATTTAGGGTGACCCAAGTCACCAGGCTCGATCTGAAATGGACCGTAAACTCGACGCCTGCACGTAGCAATCAAAGCTTTTCAACAAAATTGTATTTCACTGGTTGTTTTTTTCTTGTAAAATTACAAAGCGTAGCTCTCTTTCTGTAAAAAGAGGGCTAAGAAACAAAGGCGGCCGGCGACGCGGACGACCAAGTCCAGTAGTGGGGTGTGTTTGGCGTTCGTATTAATAGATGGCGTCCGGATCAGCGTTCGAAGGTGCAGCCGACCAGCGAAAGAAAGCAGACGACACGCAGACGAAATCCGTTGGCAGCGAAAGCGTCGTCTTATGCAGACGCTTTTTTTTTTACTTTAAGTTTTGCTTTTATTGTCAGCATTAATTTTTTAACAAAAGTTGCATTTAAAATATTACTCTTATTTTAATAAACAACGGTGGTCGCGAGCCGTCGCAATATTGAGGTAGGGCCATCTATCAATACGAATGCCAAATACACCTCGCTGCTTGACTTCGTCGTCTGCGTCGTCACCCGCCGTAGATCTTGGCAAGTTTCTTGACAGTTTTTTTTAAAGAAAAAGAGCTACGCTTTGTAATTTTACAAAAAAACACCGAGCACTATGGTCTCCAATTGCAATAATCATTTTTCATTACACAATTCACTTAGCGCATTCATATTTCTCTCCTGAACTTTATTCACAATATATAAAACGAGATCGCAAATTGCCCACTTCGAAAGTATAAAAATTGTTTTTGTTATAAAAAATATGGGCTTTCCATAAGTAAATAAATTCATTTTTAAGTGATAGTGTTATTGTAACTAATATAGATAATTCGCGGGAAATCATACCACACATCTCAATCTTGACTAACAATATTTGTAGTTCTGTTTTCATACTTTTTTCTGTTTAATTTTAATTTGTTCGCTGGACTGAGGAATTGTTTCCAAGCACCCGTTCCGTCTATAATATTTTTCATCGCAAGTGCCGTAAGAAGAAAAAAAAAAGACAAGGTAAATACAATCATTTCTATACAGGGCAGCCTCGCTCATTATTTTATTCAATTTTAAATAGTCGACATTGGTTGACAGCTCTCATTAAGGGCGCTTTCCAGACAAATGGTGAAGAGCAAAGCATACTTTAATTTCAAAGGAAGAATTTTGATAACAAATTCCATTGAATTCATGACGCCACTTACGAAGGAATATTGTCTTGAAGAAATGGCGGCTGAAGAAATAAAGCAGAGAAAGCTGAAACATAGGTTGTATGCGTCCTTTTAGTAATAATCACAAACTATATATGAAGCTCTAGATAAGTATACTTGCTATTAAACATTCTAATAAACAGAACATATTTACATGTATTGTTTAAAACTATACGAGTAAATTATGTATGGGATCAATTTGAGTGATCATAAAAACCACTTATTAGAAAGTGGTTTTATTCACTAATATAATTACTGCATCCCTTTAACTTTCATGAATTAATAACTGTAGTAGGCTGGAGTTTTACTGAATGAACTCGATTAAATACATGACGTGGGACATTCTTGCACTTGATGTGGTCGCTATAAAAATACTTTTTAAGTCTTAAAACTAAAACCAGTAAGAGTAGGATTTTAAAAATTTGAAAAATTAAATCCCCTCCCGGAAAAATTCAGTGCTTACGCAAGAGTAAAAAATATATCTAGATAAAAATATACTACATTGCAATACAAATGACAAATGGTAATGATAGCTCTGTCACTTGCACGTTAGTGGATATAAATACAAAAGATTGCTTAGCTGACATTTTCTTTTTACATTTGAAAATTTCAAAAATCATCACCAGTTTGATTACTCTTTGGAACTTAGAAAGTATGATTTTAAAGAAAGGGTGTACCTACCGATATCGTTTACCAGTCCATTGTAATACGCGCCCACTTCTGCCGCACCAGGTTGCCACCTGTGGAAAGTTTCATGAAGAAAGTGTAACGTTATTACGTAAGTGACACCTATGCAAAACAAACAATGGACCAAAACTAGCGTGTATAATACCAATACTCACGGATCTTCCCTCTTATATGGTTGATGTAAATTTTGAAGGTATTTAATGAAGTTATTTTGCAGCAGACTGTGAAATACCTTCACAAATGAGTTGTTCAAGGAAATGTTAGGCACCTTTAAAAAAACATGTAAATATTTAGTATATCTTGAATATTATTTCTTAAAACGAATAGAGTTTTCCGTAAGTGCGTCTTATCCAACGGTGCGACCTGTATGCACTCTCTCTGTTTCAAAATGCATTGACCTTAGCTGCGTAAATATTTCACGGGGGTAGCATTTCTCGTTAGATTGGTCGACGGGTTTATTAAGTTGCCTCTCGCTTACGCAGATATTCCGATCAAAGTACATATATCCGGACTTTTCAAAGAAGTTTCGCTGCGCCGACTGTACAAATATATAGGTGCGACCTTCACAAATTCTCAACTTAAATGTATTAAATTACTTTCTTAAAACATACTTATAAAGGGGTGCGACATGCACAAAAATACAAAAAAAGCGGTATTCACTTCTAGCGCATAAAATTATTCATACTGCGAGTTTATTTTGCCTTCCGTTTTCAAGGCGATACAGGGAGAACATAAAGTTTTCCCTTGATTAAGATCAATCCATTCCCAAAAGAACCATTGTAGATAGAAACACGGGGTTGTGACGTTACGTTGACCGACTCATCAAGTTTTTTACTTGTTTTGTTGCAGACGTCTCTGCAATCAGCTGTCTTATTGTGGCGACTATGAAGAAGAAGGCGTCGTGCTTTTTGTGGCGTGACCAAAAGATATGTATTACACAGTAATACAGAGGACAACAAATGCCTTACGATTGTAGCTGACGTTTTGCCAAGAAATCCTAAGCGTTATCGTAAGTAGCACAATAATGAATTGAACTACTTTTTTTTCGTTGTTTTTACCTTGTTAAGAGCTATGGTAAGCTTCTCCCTGGCTGAAAAGGCTGCTGAAGGCACTAACCCGAAGAAAGGAAAGTCTGGTTGCAATTTTGAATTTCCATAAAACTGATGTTTTGCATTTTGACGTACAATTTTTTTTTTGGGAATTTATCTTTGAAATATAAAATATATATATATTTTTTTAATTTCTTTCAGGTTTATGTATTCTGCAGCATAAGGTAAACTTGCGGGTACTGGCGCACCGCCAAGTAGAAGGTTTTAACAGCAATAGGTGTTCGCAGATGAATAAGTCCAAAGTCAACGGCGTACGTGTTCGCAGACGACCGAGTAAGCAATGCACCTAACTTGAATTACCCTCTCCCGTTAGGCGCTCTTATACTTCGTTTCAATAGAAGTTGTCAAAACTGTAACGGTACGGCCCCTTCCTCTTGACTAAATGGACCTTTTCCTCATACTGACGGCACCAGGCGGTGGCTGCACGCACTAAAATCGAGGAAGTGACCTATTTGCGCCACCAATCGACAATGGGAGCTACGCTACATATTTCTTCGCTCTGTGAGCTGCGGCGCGTGCCCAACGCGACTTTAACGAGGGGTATCCGTTGCGTCCACCTAAACGTCGTGCTTTTCTTTTCATCCGCTTTCTTTTTTTGTGTAACACAATTATATATTACGTGTTCTACTCGCTGATCCACATCTCCTTCCGAATTTCCTCGATTTTTCGTGCCGACTTCCACCGCTTGGCATCGGGCGCTTGCGCGTGCGCAGAACGCTTCTCGGAAAAGGTCGATTGGGCAGTGCTGTCGAATTCACGGACTGGCAAAAGAGGAAAGCCACTTTTCTTCGAATTTTGAGTGGCAGGCTTATCTTCTAGGCAGAGAATGATAGCGACGACTGGGACATACAGCAGAGCGTTCGGGTTAAGAAGGGATCGTCTTACTCCTTGCCCTTGTCTCCAACTGCTTGAGTTACGCTTTGGCCCCTGTACGTCTTGTAAGCGCTGTCACGTGCTTCGCCTCGGTGGCTCTGATTGGCTCCAAAACACCCGAGCGTTCTCTCTTTATAAGTTTAAGGTGAAACGAAGTATTCGGAACACCAAAACCCTGGTAGACGGCGGGGCTGTGGTTCCAAGATAGCACAAGGGACGGGGATAGATTTTCCAAAAAATATTCCGTTTGCCTGCTTGTTGACGCTGGTGAGTGCGCTTACTTTTTTATTTGTTTTGAAAATGCGAAGCGGTTAGGGTAGCAACATATCATAGATGACATATATCTTGACAAGCGTTAGGAACAAGAGCATGTTGACGTTTAAAATTTCCGGAAATTCTGCAGATTTCGCGAAGCTTTGTGTAGGGCGAGTACGTTTTTGGCGCGTTTCGTATCATTACAAGTGGCAAAATACTTCTGAGGGTTGTGAAGATATTTTAGTGTTTGCGCTGCGCTTGGACACCAGTGCTATAAAAAGTGAGCTATACAGGGTGATCACCAAGGCCCGGAAAAGCAGCATTTGCAGTATTGATGTCTCTGTGGTGAGGTTTAAAGACTCACTGCGCGCCGTTGCTGTTATAGTGCGTTGCAATACGTGATCAACCTGCGTCATGGTTATAGCATTGCAAGGGGAAGCTCGCACTGCACCATTGAAGAATGATTTCAAACGCGCGCCAGGAGCGTTGCCGTGCACACAGTAGCCTGCGGTAGCACTATGATAAAACTACACTTTGACGCCATCGGCATGTATGGAAGTTTTATTTCATGCTCTCTTAAAATAAATATTCAGATATAGCATGTACTACACCGGTGTACCGTGTAACTCGGATCATCGCGACCCGACTCGCCAAAATCGCCCGTTTTATGCACTCGTCACGAACGGCGGGCTTAACCTGTTCGTTTCATTATTTCTGTCCATTTTAACCGCTTTTCTTAATTGTTTAAGTCCTCATTAGTTTTTTTTTCTTAAACTATCATTACTTTCACCTTCCGTTTTTTTCTGCGTGTTTTTTTATACTTTGTATAATTTTTAATATCATTTAGTCAATTTTTATCATTACATTCTTTCTTTTTTTCCTAATTTTCATTCATCACATTCCACGCTTCCTTCTCAGATTTCTCTCTAAAGTACCAGTTGTGAGCAGCGCTTGATCTGTCCCTTTTATGCTCTTGTCCTCATCCGCTATTGCATATATAATGGCTAACCCAGACGCGGGTAAAGTTGCCGGGAGCGTTTCTTTCCTTGCCTTTGTAATTAAGCGAAACCAAGTACGCATAGCCGTTTATATTCTATTTCGTGTAGAAAACGGTCATGCTCCGTGTTACGGCCTTACAGCATACAAAATGCGAGCCCATTCCCGATGTCTATTGCTAGGGATACCGGTGCGTAAGCAGTTCTCTTTTACTTTCGTGAAGAATAGAATTCTCGTAGATCGCGCGCAAGGGCTTTGTTCTACTGACAGGAGCGTTTGCCTTCACGTTGCGGACATATCGAGCTGGCGTCCGCAGGACACAAAATTCGCAACCCCCCCCCCCCCCCCAAAAAAAAAAAAAAAAATCCTTAAGGAAATTAGGCATCCCGGTTTCTTTGAGCTGCGCTGTTGCAAAGTGGAACACAATAACTTATATTTTAACGCACTCGTTTTTTTCGCTAAAACAGCATTTTTCAGAAACATTCCGACCAGATCCATCCGCTAAAAGCACCGCCAAGGCCGACAGTCCCTTCTTCCGTCTCCACCGCCGTCCCCGCTCCTCTGGTTCCTCCTTCGTCCGCGAGAGGGCGAGTGGCGGAATGGCGTCGCGAAATAGCAGGCATATCAGAGAGTGCGTCGTCTGCTCGCCGAGCTCATATAGAGGAGGCGCTACAAGGTACACTCATTGCTTACTGGATTGCCTCCAAAAATGTCTGCCGTTGACTTCGGCAAGGTTCTTGGTCTGGCGTATTACAAGACGAGAACAACGCCTTGAAACATCAAAAGGTAAAATCTACTGCGCTAATACACACTCGGGGAAAACGAGTTTTCGATGCGTAGGCACCGATTTTTCGGTTCGTTTTAAGGTGTAAAAAGATACTGTCGCCACACTATATGTATCTTAGAGTGAACGGCTCTCTTAACGTCCATGAGCATAACAGAGTGATTTATTTAATTAACTCTTGGGCGAATTGAAACGAAGACAAAAATGAAATATTTATAATCATGTGGTAGCCCAACTGAGGCGGTGATTGAAACGGCGGAGTGCATCAAAATCTCATTCAAGTGTTGTTTTTTTTTAATCGTGCTTTGGCCTCACTGTGGTAAAACATAACATTAGACTGGTAATACTTTTATGAATTATTACGGTATATTTTAAATAAAAAAGTTATATTAGGTATTTTAGATTTTTTTTTTTTTTTTACAAAATTGAGCACTTGCTACGCAGAGTATCTTTATCTAAATTTCGTATTGCTCTACCAAACAATCCTTTCCTTTCCCACAACAATTTGGTAGAAATTAAATCAAGTCACCGAATATATATTCGGCCAGTCGTAGATACCAAGTATTATATAATGTGCAAAATATTATTTGTTAAGCCAGCATGATCAGTACGGTACTTGCTCATTGTTAATGTTTATAACACCAGAATTCGCCAAGATAACTAGTGAAAACATTTGTCAGACACTAGGAGTTTCTACACACAGTGAAAAAAGGTTAAAGTGTTATGTTAGTAATGTCACTTACGTATTCATAAAGTTGATTAAGATACGTGTCATTGAGCGTCCCATAAGGATAACCGATTTTATGAATCATTTTTTGAAGCTGGAATGAATGACATTTTTACTAGATTATCACAATATCAATAAATTTCGGTACCTTTTTTAATGCCTCCTCACGAGTATTGTTATCCAGCCATGTATTATTTTCAAGCATTTCTCCAAAAGTACTGTTCACGACATCCACATAGTGCTCCACCTGGTAGAAAAAGAAATGAATAATAACCTTAAAAATGTACCCACCACTATATCGTCAGATAAAGTTTGTCCTGTGCATTTTATACATTCGCCCAACTTTTTGTGCAAATTTCAAAGGAAGAAGAAACACAATGTACAGTTTCTATTACGTCAGAAATGTTCACTTTATATGCATTAACTGCCCGTTTCAGCCATTGTTTCTAATAGGTGACCAACAACTTACGCTTTCGTTCTTATATTCTCGGAGATAATAAATAATTACACACAGTTCAGCGTTTTTCACGAGGAACAGCAAGGTTCCTATAAGATTTAGTACCGGAGATTATATTACTATAACAGTAAGTGTTTTCTAATGAACATAGCTTAATTTACACCACCAGTGACGGAGACCGGTGTAAAAGGATTGCCTTATGTAGCTTTACCAGGCCCCGTTTCCAGTGCACTTTAGAAACATCGAGCACTCATTATACTATCTGCGAATAGATGTGGTCATGGTTACGACCATTCGAGGCTGGTGCAATAGTAAGGACTCTTCGGTATAACGAAGAAAGTCAATAAGCTGCTGCGCTTCGAAAAGCAAGACCAAAAAGGTCTAGGTGGCTCAGCAAACAGTTTTCATCAACAAGAAGCATTTTACAACTGGAGCAAGCTTGACCGCTCGAGGTTGTGAAGACGATTTCATTCGACTCTGGGGGTTGAAACATAAGGAATTTAATTGTTTATCACATGCTCATAAATCAAACAAAGAAGGCTAAAAAAAGCATGTGTTTTGTCTAAGGCTCGTCAAAATATTATACGCCGGTGAAAATCGCCCATCTGCGATAAGTCCTTATTTCGGATTATCTTTGTTCACGTTCCGCCCTTTTAAAAGCAGGGCGAAGGAACCCAAGTCCGCACCTGATCTCGGTGCAATGTCGTAGCCTTCCAAAGAACAAAGTCCGCCTGCTATGGTCACTGATCTCTATGCAGTGCTGCACGCGTGCCTTAGAAAAGGAAAGAAAGATCGTTCCTCGCTTCTTCCGATTTTTGGAACTCGTTTAGGTTACAAGTTCTATATGTGAAAAAAAAACTCGCTCCCGTTACACTTAAGAAATGAAACGCATCGTTACATATACGTTACATTTGTATTTTTATGAATACCCTACTTAATTAAATCGAGGAAAGTTTTTTTTTTATCTATCCCATCAAATTGGAGCATATGAATTTGAGTGCCGTGATGGAAGGTCACAAGGAGAAAAAACACATGCGGAAACAGGGCCTCATTTGCTGATATATTCACCTTTACCAATCTCAGCCTGTAACCATATGCATGTTCAAGGTGGGGGATTCAGACGAACCGAATGTATTGGCACCCCCCCCCCCCCCTTCCCCCGTTGCACGAGCGTTTTACACCTCACACGTTTCAATATAAGAAAATCCGTGTTCGAACTCAACAACATTTGCTCCTCGATGTTGCTGTCCTTAAGACGAGCAAGTGAAAAAGAGGGTAGGGCTTTTGGAAGGTCAGTCTTAAAAGGTACAAGTCCTTCTTCGTGAAGGTTGGATTCGTTGCTCAAACTGAAGGTGGGGGACTAGGGGAGAAGGAATAGAGTTTAATTTTTGTGTATATTTTCAGTGACCATGTTCGCGATACAGGGGTGTGTTTGTTGTCTGGTAACCTGTTCTTTTGTTGTAACTGTAGGTCTCATTGTGGAAGTTCAGTGATGGGTGTAGTCTGCCTAAAATTTATGAGGCTATAAGTATCTGTGGAAGCAAACAAAGTAGCTGAGTTTGAACCTTTATCTTTTTGTGCCTTTTCTTTCGACTAAACGTTTCGCTTTTTGTACTGTAGTCTTGGGCACTGAAAAAAGAATGGATGTCCACTAGCTCTCTTGCAGCCGACCGTTACCAAGCGAAGACGAAACAAAATAAACACTAAGATAAGTAACAAAAACGTTAACGATGTCCTGCTCTTCGTGTTGTCAAGGCTCTGGTCTTGTGGCCTTTGCGTCTGTTTTCACATGACCCACTGATCATGACCATAGTAACTGTCTATGATTGACCGATATAGAGCGCCTGATGTAAGGTGGCAGACCGGTGGCCACATTTCCGGAAGGGCGATCAGCGACCCTGCAAATCGTTATAGAGATCAGTGGCTATGGTCGCCGAATTTCTTTAGATGTGCACTCGAACTCAGCTTCTGAAGCCTGCTACAGCCGTGCCATCTTGCGAATTCCATCAACGCGGCAACGCAAGCTTAGACTCCAAGCCAGGCTCCCAAGCCGATCGCGCTGCGCGCGTTCACCACTCGTTTCGCTTAGGGAAACATTAATGTAACCTCAGCCCCGAGCGTGCACCAACTCTCGTTGGAACCGCCAAGGGTTCGCTAGGCGACCGCTTTCTGCCGTCGGCGTCATCCTCCACAATAGCTCGTCCAACATTGGCTTCCGTTGTCGCGTGTTACACTCCATTCCCCATTAAGATGAGACGGCAGCAAAAGCTACAAGCGCCATCTAGCAAACGCTCCTGGCTTTGAGAAGTGCATTTCAAGCGCGAGTGCTTGGTCTGCGGGAGATAGTTCGAAAGCAGCGACCTCGTAATCTCGCGCTCGTGGCATTGACTGCAATCTCGGCTCGAAGTTGAACGGAGCATAGAAAACGATATTCGGAAATTCGCACCCGCCGTGTCTGGCTGCACACTCCGCGTTCGTGCGTTCTTTCCTAAAGAAGACGGTTCGTTGCCATGGTGAAGGTGCTATGGCAGACGGAATTGATCGTGGGGGAGGAGTGGGTGGGGTGGCGAGATCAGGTGCGCAGTTGGTCTCTTTCGCCGTACTTTTCAATGGGCGGAACGTGAATTAAAGTCTTCGACATAAGGATTTAATGCAGATGGCCGATTTTTTCCAGTGCCTAATATCTTGATGAGCGTTACGTGAAAAATACGTTTTTAGCTCACAATTTAGCCGAGGTTTTTTACCGCAACTCGGGGCTAAACTACCGATGTGCCGAAGCACGCACTTGCATGTTTTTAAACATGCTCTTTTTCCAGGTACATTGCGAGAATAAGAGCTCTATTGACGAATCCTAGAACAATTTTTTATAATGAGGGTGGAACATAGGTGGCATGTGATCATATTAATTTATCCTTTGAACCCATGAGCGATGTTTTTTGTAATCCCTGGAAATAGAGCGTTACCAAAAATAACGCGTTACCAACAGTACCTCGTTAATAATAACGTGCTACTTTTTCAGTTACATGCTAACTTACTTGTTACATATAGAAAGGACTGCCGAGTAAAGTATTTTTGTTGGCACATTAGGCTATAATCTAACAAACTATGTTAATCCTTGCATTTAAATAAGATTTTAATGAGAAAGCATTAACTGGGGGGTCCCATGGAGCGGAGCTGGCGTTATCCGTAAATGCGAAAAACGGCAGGAAAATCTTCTCTGCGTCAGAACCGCTAAAAAAACGGTTAAGAAATTCTCGCCGCGGAAAGGCTATTGAAATGGCTGCCGCGCGCCTGAATGGCTGCAACGGATTGGGGGCGCCAGATTGGCTGCGGCCCGCGCGTTGCGGCGCCACTCTCTAGAGCCCGGCCGGCCTCCGCAGAGGCTGCTCGGCCGGCCTCTGCGGAGGATAGCGGGGCACGCAGCTTGCAGGAATACGCTATGCATACGTAGGCTTTCGCATTCCTACAAGTAAGATGTCTGAAGTGTCCTCATGCAATTTTATATTCTTTGAACAAAAAAAATAAATTTAGTCGGGTCTTGTATTTTAAGTTATAATGGTAAATATCTTTTTCTCTGCGGCATTATTTCAAAATCCTTCACTAAGGTTAATCAAAAACAAACAATCTATTCAGAATTAAAGAATATATATGCTACAAATCGGATACAAAAGTAAAATCAACGCTAAGAAATCACTCGTTAAATCCTTAATTGTTGTCGAAGTTCCCATCCGTAGCTTACCGCTGCCGAATAGTACTGAGCTTAGAAGAAAGCCAAGTGCACGTTCGTTTGAGTTGGAGGTGACAATAACCATATTTTGAGACATTTAGAGGACGGGAACAAATCTCAGTAACGCCTTAATTTTTGACAAGCTAACGGGTAGCGCTAATTCGTTACTTATTTCTGTAACAAGCGCGACACTGTTTTTTTTCCCTACAATATAAAAAAAAATGTACGAAGACTAAACCAGATTGCCGAATCATAGGGTATTAACCCTTAGTTTCCCAGTCTGCATTTCAAAGCACACCCCATGTACACCATTTTTAAGGCTCTTCAAGGCACTGTATGTTGGCGAGCTCCCAGTGTTAAACTGAAAACACAGTGCGCTATAATATGTCCGTTTGTTTCATTTCTTACTCTGACACAAGCAAACGCTTTAAGTTAAAAAAAAAAAAAACGCTTGTCGTGTTTTGCTTTCGCCAAAATATCTGGAGTGTTTCGTTTCTCGTACTCAGGGAATAGCTTGTTTAGTCCTTTTAAAATTAAATGTGCATAGTCCCTAAACACATGGGCATTCCTGTTACATTGCCCTGAGTGAAAACTTTAACTTTGTTTCAAGCTACGAGCTCGAATTAGGTTCGTTAGTCATGCGCAATACTAACCTCGAATGTCGCAAAGTATTTGGCGTTGTGGAATTACGGAGACATATTTTGTTTCCTTTTTTTTTCTAAATGATTGAAAAGTTTTATTTAAAAAAATAATTCCATAATTTCTTACAGTTTGCGGTAACCGACCTCAACTTATAGAATTGCTTGCATTCTACAAAGATGGGAAGATACCATGACAAGTGACTGTGACGAAGGATGGGTTTCCTCACGAAAGAGAGCCAGGGCCGAGAGTGTGACTTTATCAGAAGATTCGTTGTCTGTAGCAGAGAAACGGCACCTAAATTCCAACTGGCTGCGAAAACTTCCGCATGGAAATTTCTTTAGACGGAATAAATTAATGGCTTTGATAATACAATTTCGTGCATTTCTGTCTGTGTGGGAATTGAACCCAGGCCCCCGGGGTGCCAAAAGAACAAGCTTCCCATACACCACGGCGGTTCCACGGTTCCTGCTGACTAAAGGTGTACCCAGTGCATCCGTAAGCAGTTTTAAGTGACTCTGCCAATTCCTTTTTATGTGTAGGAAATATTTAGAAAAGGACAAGCACGAGACAAGTTGAACGGAACAAGGCACAGTCGAAACTGAATGAAATTTCTCGGGAGTCTCCTCGTTGCAGCGCTCTAAACACAACTCGGTGTTAACGTATGCTGGGAAAGCAAGGCATTTGTTAAAAGATGGGAACAAGCATCCCTGGTGTAGTTTAAGATGACAACTTGCCTACATTTGGATCAACGAACGTTTTATCCGCGATTCAATGATTGACCGGAAAAGCTGTAGAGATTTTGTGCATGTCTTCGGGACAGTTTACATCGAGAGATGAAAATCAACAGATGAACAGTTGAACATGGAAACTCACACAACAAGCGTGCTGCCCCGTTGCTCATTAACTTTAATTGACTTGCCACCAAAGCTCTATAATACTGACGGTGAAATAGTTTAGTTACGTTTTATTAGTATTATCATACATGTATTATTGTACCCATTCCCATAAAACGTATACTCGCAGTTTCTCATTTTTATTTCCATCCCATTTTTGGCAAAGCTTCCATAACGTGAATAAAGGATGAGAAACGTTAAATTTAAGTTTTATCAAATATGCTAATGTTTAAGATTATGTTCCAATAATATTACCTTTCGAACGTGGCAGTTACATTTTTTTTATGTGAGTTCACGTTGCGCCACATTAGCCACAACCCAGTAACGTTTGGGCAACATTCTCCGTTGCGAGGGAGGTTGCTTGTTTGTAGCAATTTGTCATGTAGCACTGCCAGATGTTTGACTAACGTGTAGGATTTTATCAAAACAATTAATTCTAAAGGTGATATCGGCTATGTTTTTTTTAATAATAATGAATTGAAATCCGAGTTTGCCGGATTATATGCAGGCATATTTTATTTCCTATGGCAAGTAAGGAAATACGTCAACAAATATTTTCACTAATTTATGTGACACACGTTAAAAATGTGTCGTTACTTAGACTTTGTATAGTTAATACATTTTCAGCTTTATAATACAAGATAGCTTTATTTGAAATGAAAACAATTCCCACATGTAAAGCGCATCGTTCACGGAACGCATTAGGAGTAATTTTGAAAAGTGAGCTTACAGTGTGTTTAGCGTTGGGCTCAAAAATGTTGTCCACATAAAGACGAATTATTGCATGTTTCATTACGCCTGATATTTTTGAGAGGCACGTCTTCCAAAGCGGAACGACTGCTTGTACTCCAAATGCCTCTTTGTCAAAGTCAACAACTAACTGACCAAACTTCCTGGACGACGCAGATCCATGCCTCCGAATTTGTGTCCAGTATAAATAATTATACAGCGTAGGTCTGCAAGAAAAATAAGCGAGGGCACATAAACATTAAATTATATTTGTAGTCTGGTATTAATCTTTGCTCAGCACAGCACTTTTTATGACTGATCGTTTACTGCCAGACGCTCTGCAAACTAAAATGATTAGTACGACTATGCCATCGATGAATGATTAGTGTATCGGCACTCCGTTACGCGACATTGTTGTGGGCGCCGCCATTTTGGTGCTTGTTCAGAACAGACACAAATTGGCTTGGTGGTCGGGCGTGTCGTACGAAATGATTACTAGTCGTTTTGATCTTTCCGAAATTTTGTCTTTCAAATCAAGTCAACTTTGCCGGTACCGCGAACGGCAGTTCTGAAGTAGAGGTCCCATGCCCTATCGTCCGCTGCCATCGCTGTCAATCCCACGAGTCCCACGATACGTCATACGACGCCATGTTGAGGATTACGCTGTGAACGCACAACATTTTTTCGGTTCTTTATGCAATTTCTTTTTTTTTTCAATCCACGCATTTACAGTTTTTTGGAAGGCACAAAATTGTGTTTTATATATATATATTGTTTTAATATTGAGTGTGTGCCCGTAATGACCCACGACTTTGATTAAATTTGGTGATTGTGTCTAAACCTTACAAAACGGCCCGTAACCACGGATAAGAAAATGAGCGCGACTCAAATCGGCCAGTTCTCAATCGGCGGTTTTCGGGCGGAAAGAAACCGAATTTCTAGCCGCAAATTCTGTTCTGGGCGGTTGGTCTCTCATAGGTTATGCACAACTAAAAACATCGGCGAGCGTAAATACCCTTTCAGTGTCCCTTTCAGAGCAGCCTGAAGACAGGTGACAGCAATATCGCGGTGTATTAGCTTAGAATGAGTGCTATCAAAAGACGAGAGGTTGTTTCTTAAACGCGGTTCGTACAACCACCACACGTGTTAACCTGTAAAAGTAAGCTGTAGGTATAAACACTTAATGCTCTTGTCCCTCGGAGGCTCCCAGGTAAAATGTAATCCGTCCGACATAACGTCAAGAAATTTGACGACGTTTTAAAGTAGGTCATTAAAACTTATATCTCCGGGGGATCATTCACAATAACCCGACAATCGTCTACATTTCTAAAAATCCTAAACACATGCATCTAATTAAGGCCTTCCAAACTGCGCTTGTTCATCGATGCTAGCGGTTCGTCTAGCGATTCGTAACAAATCGGGGGGACATATTGCAATACACTGCATGCAGTGCTGGTGCGATCCTCTTTTAGAACTACTCAAATGTATTAAAGGATCAAATATCTAGACTGAAAGGGAAATAGTTCAAGCGTATACTATGAAGTCCTCGGGTGACAACTGCCTTGGATTTTGCAAAATGTAAAGGGAGCTTTTTTTTCTTGTTAGTTTTGTGTAGACACGCTGAACTGATACGACTGCTTGAAGAATTGTCATCTGTTTGTGCTTATATGAGGTTTTTATCACAGGGGGTTGAGAAGATAGACAAGAGTGTTCGCGCCTGTGTACTCGGTTGACTGCCTCGAATAAATCAGTTGAAAGTTAGCGCCAGTCCGTGTTGTGTATGTGTATTCGTAGTCCGTGTTGTTCGCGATTTTATGTCCTTCAGTTTTTATCAAAGGCTGGAGTGGAACAACCACGCTATGTTCCTGTCGTTGAAGGTCTTCTTGTACAGCGCCCCTGTCGAATGGAGGAGGTAGGCAGGATTTGTATGAAAGCACGGGCAACCGGACTTCCTTGTCCGTCTGGGTGCACGATAAGTGCTCCCAGTTCAAGGTCGTCTTGTTAGAGTGCTTCCATGTCGCTGACATCCAGAGCACCAAGAAAGCACTCATTCTCGTCGTCTTTGGTGCAGGCAGAGTCGACCTCGACGGGGGCCCTTGCCAGGCAATCAGCTCATTGTGCTTCCGGCCGGACTTGTACCTACGGTCATATCGATATCCTGCAGTCGTATAGGCTCCACTGGGTGAGGTGTCCGGAAGGCCCCTTTAGATTCTTGAGCCAGCAGAGCGAATGGTGGCCTGTGACCACGCAGAAAGGACTCTCATACATATACGGGAAGAACTTCGTTGCTGCCAAGAAGACAACAAAGCACTCTTTTTCAGTCGTTTGGTAGATCCTCTCGGCCTCAGACGGCGTCCGACTTGCCTAGGCGATTTCTTGTTCTGCGTCCTCTTGCCTTTACACCAGTACTACGCAAAGTCTGGTGTTAATGGCACCCGTGTGAATCTCTGTTTCAGCGAACTGGTCGTAATGGCCAAGAATCGGAAGCGTCTGGAGTTTTCGTTTGCGCTCATCAAATGACCGCTGGTGTTTCTCTTCGCACTCTAACTTTACGGAGTCCTTTGAGAGGTGCGTCAACGGTACTGACAGCTTGGCGAAGTCTCGAACAAACCGCCTGCAGTAGTCACACAGTGTCCAAGAAATCTGCTCCCCGCCTTCTTGTCTGATGTCGGCGTAAATCCGAGCTACGGCGCGCGTCTGATCGGGGTCTGGACGCATATCGTTGCTTACGACATGGCCAAGCAACTTTAGTTCATCGCAGGGGAACCGGCACTTTGTGGGCTTGAGTAAAGGCCGGCGGTCTTGATAGCTTGAAGCACGGCTCGCAATCGTTTCAGGTGTTTGTCGAAAACCCGTGTAAGTACTTCGACATCGTCGAGATAGACGAGGCAGGCCTTCCATTTCAGACCTGCCAGCAAGGGGTTCTCGATACGCTGGAAGGTGGCTGGCTCACTTTGAACTCGTACAGTCTGTCGGGCGTGACAAAGGCAGTTTTTTTTTCATTTTTTTTTTGTGGTCACAATTGTTGACCTTAATCTTCAAGTAACCACTTTTCAGGTTCAGCGACGAAAAATATCGGAAGTGGAGCAGCCGGTTCAAAGTATCGTCGATGCGGGATAGCGGATAGGATTTTTTTTTTTCTGACACACGATAGTCCACACAGCATCTAAGGGTCTAGTCCTTCTTTGCAAGGATGACTGTGGACGCGAACTTACATCTTGAAGGTGAAATGGTGCCGTTGTCAAGCATTTTCTGGGCTTGATCTTGGATCACCTTCTGGACTTGATCTTAAATCGCCGTACCGAGTCTCTTCAAGAAGAGTCGGTACGCCATGTTTTTTTTTCAGCGCATCATCGTCAGTAACGATGCGCCTCTCTGTGGTACAAAAAGTCTTCTTGGAGCATAAGTAGCGCATCATCCTCAGTATCGATGCGGCGCTTCGCTACCATTGTTTGTCGCCCCTGACGTTGCGAAATAATTGCCAAGCCCGCCCAAAAAGTCAAGCAGCCATTTTCTTTCAGTGGCCGGAAGCTTCGGGTCAATGTGAAGTTCCGAAGGCGGCGTTCTTTCGTGCTGCGATGAAATCGGCTTTTCCGAAGGTGCAGTGGTCGCAGCTGAGTTCCGGATTTCGCGTTACCTTCCGGGGGCTGTTGCGGCTCTTGTCGAAAATTTCTAACCAGGACCATAGCACGTCCACATTGAACATTTGTTTTTACTATTACTACACTGCTTCCTCTGTCTAGAAACGACTGGACAGTTCCCTCGAGCAGAACTTCGCCGCATGCAGCTTTATCTGTCCCGACGGGTACGAAAATACTTGACCATAGCGGTACGTTCACGAGGTTTCGAGGACGTGGCGTTGGGTTCTCCCTGTAGTTCGACAGGTTTTCCCAGTGTCAACACTCCTGACGGAGTTATTAAGTAACTCCTCACGGAGTTATTAAGTAAGCTCCGGAGGCTCATATTTGCCGGCCATCCCACGGCGTCGTCACTTTCCGAAGGTAGCGTGAAAGCCTCCCACTCAAGACGGAGAGGTATGCTCCGGTGTCGAAGAGTGCCAATGTCTCATGGCCGACTTCCCGTTGAGGCTCTTCGGCACCATTATAGAAGCGTCGCTCCGATGCATGACGTCGGTCGAGTGGGAGGTCTCCGGCGTCCTTGCAGGATCTTTATGTCGTTAGTCTACGGCAAATTCACCTCCAGGGGTGGCCGTTCTTAGTTTTTCCAGCAAAGCAAGCGTAACCGGCTCTCACGATAGGTTTCGTGCTTCGGCGAAGCTGGATGTCGTGGTGATGGCGACCGGGACGCTCGGCAAGGTGCAGTACGGAAAGACTAAGTGCATCGAAGGCACCCTTCGATCTCCCTCTTTCACTCAACGCAGAGTATGTAGGGGTCGTTTGGGTGGAAGGTGCGCAGTCTTATTTGCCGGTAAGCGCTAACAGCGCTAAATATATTCGGCTTCCCCACACTGGTAGCACAGCGACCGCTATTCGTCCGCCGTCATACGTCGGGTTTTCTCAGCAAGGGTACAGCGGCGTCAGGTTGTCCTATCAGGGTGACGCTTGGTATTGACGGGTAGCAGGCGGCAGTCTACGGGCCATGGCGGCGTAACTCAGCGTCGGCTCCTCTGATGTGGTAATGGGTACCTCTGTTTGGAGCGCCCAGTGAACTTCTTCGCGGACGGCCTCGGCAATTTAGAGAGATTCCGGAGGGCTGGAGGCAGTCAGTAACTTTCGGAGCCCCTCCTGCGGCTCCGAAAGTTACTGAATTGAAGTTGTGCCGTTTAGACACAAGCTCTATGGTAAAAAAAAGCAGATTGATTTGGTCTGATGCACCAGCTTACACTGCTCAGCATGCAAAAACAAATACAACACATTAAAAAAGTACAAGAAGAAATAATTGCACATCACCAGCAATCGGAGCACCATATTTTTTTACAGAGTTCATACAATCGTCAGTGCTTGTCCTAACATTTTGTAAAGGCAAAACAAACCACGCAATACAACTCACACGCAGTAAAAACATTTTATCTAATTATTTTCTCAACGTGACATGACAGAAGGTACCGTTGTATTATATTTTTGAAGCTGGGTGTCTCGAAGCACAATCTGAAATTATTTCCATAATGGTTGGAATTTTTTCGAGGACACCCATATAAAGAATGCTAATTGATGATGTCCATAATTCGTCCTAGACCGAAATATTTTAAAGGGCCATGTCGAAGACT